CCAAAAAAATGTCATTTCAAAATATTTGAACTTTGATTTTGATTAGTATAATATTATGAAAGTTATAATTTTATACTTTTATGGAAATGCTTTTAACAAAGAACATTTTTCATATAATTTTTATACTCCCTCCGTATTTTAATGTTTGCTACTCTTTCCTTTTTGGGATGTATTTAAAAGTTTGCTACACTTCCCTTTTTGGTAAGTTTTTTCTTTAAAAATACTCAACTACCCTTACTTTTTCTACTTTTTATCTTCTCTTTCATACTTTAACACACCTTCTCCTACTTTTTCTACACTATTCATTACCCCTACTATTTATTTCTTAAATTATGTGCCCTATACTATTGTAGTGAACTTATAATTACGGAGGGAGTATTGTAAATAATTTCCAATAAAAAGATGTAGTTGATCAAAGTTTTGAAAATGGCAAAAAAAAATTGGGACAAAGGTAGTATAAAATAATAAAGATAAAGTATAATTAGAACATGCTGACGAGGTGTTGACCTGTAATAAAAAAAATTGAACCATTTTTTGCCGGTTCAGGGTGCGAATTGGACCTTTTTTAGTTCAGGGTTAGAATTGAGCAAACATGACCGGTATAGGGACCTATTTGACAGTTACCCATATAAAATCTCTGTTACACACCAATGTTCAATTCGAAATCTTACTTTTTCCACAAATAAGCAAGTTCGGTATAAAAAATACTACGTATATAGAAATGTTCTAGTTGATGCAAAATAAGTTAATAAGAAATGTATCTTAAGGAAGTCAAATGACTCAATTAAATTGAATTTTAATTGAACCAACAGTTAAATTTTCAAAACTTCAATAGTTCATTTGGGAGAGTTGAGCGACCTAAAATTAGTAGGGTACACCTTGATGAAAAAAGGCTACAATTAATTCAATAAGAAAAAGAGAGCCTTAAAAAAGACTTTCCAACAAAAGAAACATGCAATATTTGGGACGGGGTAGCACATGTGAAAATTAAATGATAACTAGTATACTAGGAACAACCTGTCATAGTCTGTTGACGCAGTATGAGACTCTTGCCCAGCTTTGCCCAGCTTATACACCTTCTTGTTCAACTCTGTGCGGTGATGGTACCCATTCTGACCTGCACGAGCAACAGTGAAGGAAACCCTGGCAGGGTGCCATGCTCCAATACATGCAACCTTTCGAAGCCCTCTGTGGGTCTTGCGGGGGAGCCGTGTGACACCCCAACGGGTGACAACACCTTCAAAACCCTTCCCCTTGGTGACACCAATGATATCAAGCATCTCATCCTTCTGGAAAACCGCATCCACGGGGACCTGCTTCTCAAAGAAACTATACGCAAAGTCAACTTTTTGCGCAATGGTCCCGCCATTCACCTGGATTTCCATTATGTGGGCCTTCTTCTGCTTTAGCCCCTTCATCTTTCTTATCTACATTGCATCAACAGTTTCATTCAATCAGAGAAAGAAAGAAAAGGGCTAACTGCTTAATACATGTATTTCGATTTAAGTTCTAGAATATTTTTTACATATATTTTGGTATATTTACTTGGGTGTATAATATAAAATAAAGTCATTGAGTTTGAGCATATCTTATAATTTACCAAGCACTACATTCTTTTCTATTTTCCTCTATTTATTTCATTTTTGCCCATGTACTTCCCGGGTGCCAGACAGACACTTGGGATAAAATAACCCAGCTACATAAAACACTCGAGCCACCAATATTTATAAAGGCTTCGTGTATGTTTGTAAAATGCACATTTGAACCTGGGTGTGAGCCAAAACACGGATGACAGAGCAATATTTCTTCAGCTTCTCCAATTGGGCCTGGATATCCTTCTTCCCCTCCTCTGTTTCATATTTATGTGAATAGTTGGTGAATGCCTTCTTCTTGGACTTGCACCAGTTCTTGTAAAACCTCCTTCTTAGCTCCTCATTTAGATGTTGAGCCCAAACAGTGTTTAGACAACGCAGACCACGAGGTGTTTTCGTATAGCCAACCACTCCCACAACTACCATTGGTGGAGTTTCAATTAGGGTCACGGGTTCACATGTTTCTTTCTTGTGTAATTCTGGAAAGACCCATATAAATAAAGTATAAGAACAAAGAAATTTATAATATCTAAAGGTAAAGTACAGAAAAACTTCAGAATTTCATCAATTAAGATGCATACAGCATACATATCAAATAAGAGACTGCACAAAACACAAATATGATACATACTTGACCCAGGCTTCTCGACTTCTCTCACAATGTGAGTCATGCCTGCCTTGTAACCCAAGAATGCAGTCAATCTGCATGGCTTTGAAGGGTCATCCTTAGGAAATGCCTTCACTGCATATCAAATACTGACTCAGTGAATGTGAAGACTGTAAATATCAATACACTATTTTACAAGCACCGATATATGTTATCTAAACACAATGCATTATGCATAATATATAAATACAGCTAGCTCTACTTATTGTACTAAAATGATCAAATATTTTTTGTATCAAAATACATATTCCTGAACCCAAAATTATTATCTAGTATAAACAAAGCCTTTGTTGACAAGCACGAAACAATTTCAAATATCACTGCATATTTGAAATACTTTTTATTGCTAACAGATTCACAATTTCTGTTGCAATCTGTTTTATACTACCTCTCTCTTATTGTATTCAAATACCTCGAAAGCTAGTGAAATGGAAATATTATGTATGAACAGCTAAATCACACTGTTATTTGAATAAATAAAGGACACCTGTAAGTCAGGAAGAAATCAAGAAAAGAATGAAGAAATCTGAAGCGGAACAAACAATGAAATCATACCCTTCCCCCTGTGTCGAGAAGCACGCTTCCTAGGAAGAAATCCAAGGGAACCATGCCTGGGGTGCTCAAACTTCCTGTGAGACATCTTCCGCCTCCTGCTTAAAACTCTGCAATCGAACAACAATAAAAAGAGACTTAAAACAATGAAAAATATCGGCAAAGTCCAAAGCATAACACTACAATCAAATCGGCACTGAGCAAATCGAAGACAACATAGTTTAACCTATAAACATAAAGTAAAAATTCCTGAAAAAACTGAAGAGATGCACATATTTTGTAGGCGCCATACAAAGAAATGGAGAGGAGATCGGAGAACGGACGTCTTGCTAGTCGGCGGCCACCTCCTGGCGAGATATGAGCTTCAACCCTTACTCGGCGAAAAACCTGCGCACTCGATCCAAGGCCTGTATTTAAAGCCCAATAAGGCTATACATGATGGGCTGAGAGTTAGACAGAGCTGTTTCAGAGCCCAAATATGCAGTACGTACGTATAAATATGCGGTTCGTATACGGTGCAATAGGCCTACCATCACAATCAGTCAATCATGCTTTACTCCCAAAACGATGTACTTTTACATAATCTAAATAAACAAATAAAAATCGCGTGAACAGTTTATGCATGAATGATGTAATTCAGTGGTTTTTTTTTTCTTTTTATCTCAGTAGCATGAATGATGTAACTCGCGTGTAAAGATATGTAACTCGCGTTATTGAACAATGTAATTCAAGTCCGATAGTCCGTTCGAAATGCGACTTGTCAAATACCCCCTCCGTCCCTAATAACTTTGCCAAGTTTGACCGGCATGAAGATTAATAAAGTAAAAATTGTGTGGTTGAGGTTTGTGCAGAGGAGAGAGAATTAACTGGAGCCACAAATTCTTTACTTGAAAGAGAAAGCGGCAAAGTTAATGGAACATCCAAAAAGGGGAAATTGACAAAGTTATAAGGCACAGAGGTAGTACATAGTATAAGAAAAATAAAATATTGATTTCAATGTAAACAATGAAAAAAAAGAGTCTAATTGCGCAATTGCTTTAGGTAAACCGTGAATATGTTTTGTTTTTAATATCATGCCCATAAAAAAATATTTTTCTAGAAAAAACATTTTTTTGTTTCAATAGCAGGGGTTGATTTTTTAATGTAACTTGTGCTATTACAAATGTAACTCGCGCTAATGGCAAATGTAACTTAGGTGTATACAGAACGTAACTTGTTGAAAATTTGAAAAATGATTTTTTTTGTTTTGTGATTAATATGTGTGTGCATTACAAACATTTATTTCAATAAAAACAATGAAAAATTTACCCTAATAGCCCAATTACTTTTTTAAAATAGTGAATATGTTTTATTTTTAATATTAGGGCTATAAAAATGATATAGCAGGGGGTTTATTCCGTAGTGTAACTCGCATACATTTAGATGTAAATTGCATATATTAAAATGTAGGCTAAAGAGTCAAATAGACTATCGAACTAACTTAGAAGTGCAAATCACTCCTTATATAAGAGACTCTGTCCGGCCGTCGCCATTTGAGGCTCTGCGCTCATTTTCTCCGATTTGAAACCCGCAACAACGAGTTCTTCTGGTGCGGCGAGCGGCGGCGAGTAGGGGCGAGCACTCGAGCAGAGAGGGAGTGAGTAGCAATTCCGATTCAGACCTGTAAGCAGAGTAAAGTAGCTCATTCTTCTCCCTCCTCTTTCCTCCTTCTCATCTTCTGTGTTTGTCTCTTCCCCTCTTCTGTTTGGTCATCCGATGTTCATCTTCTTTTTGGGTTGTTACAATTGCCAATGCATGTTTTCTCTAAAAATGTCATTAAAATGATACTCTTGCTCTTCAAAAATTTTGTATTTTCTTTGAAAATGTTATTAAGACGACATTCTCGATTCATGTTGGCATTTTGTTAAAAAAGTTGGCCTCAGCGGCGACAAAGGTCAGAAGTGCAGTAGTAGTGTCTGGATCTGAGGCGGCGGCGGCTGGTCCAACAATCTCTCGGCAGCAGTATGTTTTGTCAAGCTTCATGGGTATTTCTGTCCGACTATAAATAATAACTCCCGTTTAGAGAATTTTTAAACCCTATTTTGATAATTAAATTCTTATTTTTGTTTAGGTAAATCTCCTATTAGTTAATTATTATTAGTTAATTATTATAATGTGAATGTACAAAAGTGGGTAGAAATGACATTCTTGAACAAAAATCCCAAGCCCAGCCCAATTTATAACTTCTGAGATACAATAACCTCTTAATGCTGTTACCGGCTTACAGTTGATGTAGACGAAGCATTGAAAATAAGCTTTGGCGATGGAGTTTTCTCGTCTCACTGAAGCCTTGGCCTCCAAATCGTATGACAAGATCCCCGTAATTTGTGATGATCTCATGCTATCGGTAAGTTCTGGAAAGCAGCCAATATTTTTCTCTACTTACTGTCACGTTGCATTGTTTCGACATCAGTCCGGATACCTAATTTTGGCTCCATTCTTTTATTCATTTAGTTTGCTGCAAAGGGAATTACGTTTCATGAAGAATGGCCCTACACGATTCATCTCTTGGGACACCTTTACAACAATGACATGTATTCGTGATATTTTTCCGACGTACAGGGTTTAATGACTACGAACTTGATAGGATTCAGTTCCAATTTTTTCTTATGTACTTCGTTTCTTTATTTTAGCTTCAGTGCGCGATTTTTGTGGAAGACAACACCGGCTGAGATAAAGGTGAACCGGCCGGAGATGGCAGCAGTTTGGAAAATTGGACAGAAGCTATGGAAAAGGGACTATGCTGGAGTTCACGAGGCCCTACGTGCACACGATTGGAGCCCAGAGGTCAGGGAGATCGTGGTTTCAATTGCAGGCAAGCATTAAATTCAATCCTCTACACATTTCTGCTATTGTGGCATGGTTGGTTAATTGAGTAACTAGAACAAAAGTATACACTATACACTGAAAGAATCAGGTATTCATGTAAGAATTCTGGGATGTATAGCTTTTTTAGAAATTCAGGATTCATAGTTGTCTAAGATTAGATATTACCACTAGGAAGGTGGTAATTTGGATTTCTCATCATCATCATCACCCCAGTGCCGCAAAGGGGGATTGAATGTACGCAGCCTTACCCCTGTACTAAAGCACAAAGAGGCTATTTCCGGATGACCCATAGTGAAAATCGCGTCGAGAATTGCATGGACTGACTGCTGCTTCATAACAAAGAAGAGATAGTTTAGTGAGTCATTTTGTTTTATTCCATTATATTCCCAAGCCAAAAAATAGTGAGTCTTTCGCTCCATTGCAAATAATGGAAACCACTATGACATATGTGATTAAAATAAAATCACATGTAGGTGACTTCCTGACAGTCCACATTGTTAACCCAGCAAGTGGCCGGACTTATCACAAACAGTGGGACGGGTGGATGACAGATGATTAGTAGGTTACCTCAAGTTCATCAAGTTCCCAATCAAATTCACAGAAAACAGGTTTGGGGTTCTATGGGAGTTTAAGTTTTCTATGATATTGTTTTTTTTTTGAAGTATTCTAGCTTTCACATTTTGGATGTCAAATTTCCTACTCCAAAATTTCACTAAAGTAATGAAATACTTTTCAAGAGTTCTCAACTTTCCATGATACATGTATCGATTCGTTTTAGACTTTTAGCCCACCCAGTGGCGGACCCAGAAAGTCGGAGTCACGGGGTCCCTACCTTTTTATATCTCTAATCACTAATTAATATAAAACTAATAAAAAATATTAAAGAAGCATAACATTTCATAGTTAACGTACACCATCAAAATATAAGGTATTATAAAGCAAAAAAATTACATATAAAAATCATTCAACAATTCTAGAGATGTACCCTCCTAAGCTTCATTTGTTGGAAATATTCTATAATAGTTTTGGTCTATTTAATTAAAATAGGCCAAAACGACGTAATTTTGGTCTCTTTAATTAAAATAGTTTTGGAAACTAAAAAAGGAGCCCCAAGGGGATTCGATCATGGTACCTCATTCTAGATAGAAATCTAAATCCTGCGTGTGCTCCCGTTCCTCTACGCCATTCTTTTGGTTCTTATGTCGTTTTTTTATGTAAATATACATTTAATAATTAATTTTATATAATATATATAAAATATATAGGTATTTTTTTCGAGGTGCACGGGGTCCCGGGACCCCTTGGGACCCTTACTGGGTCCGCCTCTGAGCCCACCCCAAAATATTTTCGGGACCAAGGCTTGAATGTTATTGTTGTAGACTTGTAGCATTCTTTTCTAATTCTATGGGTTTAGAGTTAGAGGTAAGGTTTGTTTACAGCTCACTCTCCCCACTCCCTGCTTCTGGGTGGGATATACTTGGTATGTTTGATTTGCTAAGTAGTGCATAATCATGTATGATACTAATGGCAGGATTCTTCCTTCACACTTTTTAGCTTGATTTCTTAATTACTTTATCTTCGACTTCATGCTCAATTTTTTGTTATGGATGGGAATAAGGGATAGGATACCTAAATAATAAAAAACTGAAATCAGTATTAATGAAGACTCAAAAGAAAGTGGTATCCGACCTTATCTAAGACTCCAAACAATAACTCCAAAAGTATTGATGATAGTATTAATGAATAGAGCACTTGTATATATACTAGTTCCAAGAGTGTTAGCAGACCAATATTAGAGTAACCCTTATCCTATTACAATACAATACTACTACTTGGAATATTAACTAAACCCGACTTCTAGGAAACTCCAGTTACAAATGACAACAGGAAAATAATACTTGTAAATGATGATAACAACAACAACAATAGGAACCCAATAATCAAGTGATCATGTTTGATGATGTGGCGGTTGTTAACCTTGATTTGCTGTCTCAAGATACCCCACGTTCGACATTGAGCAATGCAGAGATATTTACTCCATATACGATAATAGGCGTATCCAGTTTATGCAATAGGCATTCTTACGCTTTTCCCTACTTAGGCGTACACAATAGACGCTACGCTAGAAGGTGGTTCATGAGGTGTACGGTTCTTACGCTCTGAGCAAAATAGGTTTAGACCTAGAAAGCATAAATCGGACCAACTCTTATAATTTAGCCCAGAAAAGTCTTATGGCAGTTTAAGTTTTGAATATCCACAACCTATGTGTAAAGTCCAGCAGTGGACAAGCTCCCCTGCTTTAAGTTATAATTTTTTGAACCCTTCTCAGTCAACCGTAAACTCCTACCTTCTATTGTAAGGTTTGGTTTTGATTTTATTTTTTTATCTTTAAATTTTTTCAGTATGTACGAGAAACATGAGAATATGAACTCAATGGTTTATGATGGTTTACACTTTACATTCGTATATCTGAATGCAAAATTTTATGATTCTTAATTAGATAAGATTTGTTCTGCCTTGTTCCAATTATGCTAACAGTATGTTTTTACTTTTATTCTGTTTCCGTTTTATATATTTTTCTACATTAATAATGATTCTTGATGAAAACGGGTTCCTAAATTTGTTTATTAACTGTTTATCAAATTATAGTACGTAAAACTCAACACACAAGAGACTTTAACCCTCTCAGGCTGAGTGAGAAAACAAAAATAGTGCAGGAAGGAGCTTATTGACAGTGGTTCATATTATCAAAGTTTGCTCTCCTCAATCTAATAATCTTAGAACATGAATAGCTTATTTAAAAAAAACATGAATAGCTAGAAAATGTTTTCTATGTGAGGTTTGAACATACAATTTTGATGGATTTATGACCTCATTTTTGTTGGTCTTGATTATGATATTTGTTGCTTTGTAATGATTATTTTATTTCATTTCATTTTTATTACATTATTTTTACTTTTTATATATAAGTTTGTGTAAAAACCTTGTGTGGTTATGCCTCATTGAGCAATGAGGCTTACACAATAGGCAATGCCAAGAAGAAACCGTCTCATATATGCAATACGCCATTTCGAACATTGGAGATGCCAATACAGCATACACCCCTATCAGCTCTCCAATCCCTCCATTCTTCTAGTTCTACTACCTGTAGTGGACTGTTTGCATTGAAGAGATATAGAGCAGGTCGGAAGGAGTTATTGGTAGCCACGGCAGGATGACCATCATAGCAACTGAGCCCGAGTCTTAGGTGCAGATTGCAGGGGCTACTGGTTGCAGTATCAATCTTTTTTTTGGCAGTGACTCTTTTAATAGAGATATTTCTGGCTGCAATAAAAAGGAGTTAGTAGCGATGAGGGTGGATCTTCTGGCTTCACAATTTCAATGTAAAATAAACGTTGGCATTTGGCAACGATATTGGCCCCAAATCCATTGTTCGTCACAATGATAACATAAACCTTTGGCTTGTTGTGCAGGGGCAGTTTGTATTGAAAGAAGTATTAAGGACACACATATACAATCTCGTCTAAGGTCTCAAACGAGATCTCAGAAGAGCAGAGGTGCCAATTGAGACCTTTGAATCAATATAATGGTGTAAGAGTCTTAAGGTGGAATTAATGGGTGCCCGACTTAGTCAAGACACACAAGAATTAATTCTCTCAAAAGAGCTTTATTAATTTCCATCATTTCAATGGAGCCAAAGACTCACTATTTTTTGGCTTCGGAATATGACGAAATAAAGCAAAATGACTCACTAAACTGTCAACGCTTCTTTGTTATGAAGCAACAGTCAGTCCATGTAATTTTTGACGCGATTTTCATCACGTGTCATCCTGAAGCAGCAGTACAGAGCTAAGACTGCGTACATCCGACCCCCCTTACCCCACGGTAGGTGGGTGCCTTTGCGGCACTGTGGTAATGTTGTTGTTTGTGGTTGTAAAAGAAATTTATTCATCCATATAAGGTCCCTTAAATAGACAATACAAGAGTCATAATTATAATAAGAAGCGTAAGGATAATAAGAAATTTTCTAAAATTGAATAAGGAAATAATATTATGAACAAGGTATAACTAGAACATAATTAATTAAATGCCGTCTGTTGCCAATCTACCAACTTTCCTTAGCCTCATGGTCAGCCATATAAAGTGTTCCGATCCTTCTCTTTTTGACAAACTAATTTTCCTGAATCTTCTCGTCCCATCCTTCGTTGATATACTTGTCCTTGAAATGGATCCATAACACCAGTATAGTCAAAAGCGCTCACCTGAGCGCTTAAGCGCTCCAGGCGAGGCGCTGAACGTGGTTAGCACCTTAATATTCTCTGGGCGTAGGGGTATGCCTCAGGCGCAAATAAAGCGCAAGAAGTGCAGAGGCGTAGAAGTGCATGCCTGTTGCGCCTGGGCTGGGAAAGGCTTCTCAACTTAATTTTCTTTTTTCATATAAGATAATGACCTAAAATAGACACATATTTGTAATAAGATATAGCCCGTCTAAATAATAGGGGAAAACAACATAAAGCCCTACTCAGTCTGTGTAAAATTGTATTAAAGAGTGTACTAAAACTTTAGTAATAAGAAATTAAAAAGTTCTCTCCTGCATCCGACTCACAGCCCACGTAAAAGGTAACCTCCTCCTTCTCATTATGAGTTTCTTCTTTCAGTTTTCATCTAATTTTTTTCATCATAGTTCTTTCTTATTTTCTACGTAGTATATTTTTATTTCCTTACTTTGAATGTATGCTCTATTTCTCCTTTCTTTATTTCCATCTTTTCATTTAAAATTCAATCTTTATATCTTATTTTCTGTCATTTTCCTTCTTCTGTTTTAACAAGTTTCTTTGGAGGGCGGGTATTCGTGTGGAGGAGTGATCTTGTATCATCTTTTCCCCTTTTTTTTCTTTTTTTTTTCTCCTTTTTTTATATATTTTTATCCTTATATATAAATATTACTTTATCCTTTTTATTTTATCTTTTATATGAATATTCATCTCTTTTATATTATCTTTTTTTATAATAGTTTATCTTTTTTATCTTTATTTTCTTTCTTTTCCTTTTGGTGATATCATGTATCGATTCATGTTAGCTGACCCCAATATCGTTTGGGACTAAGGCTTGGATGTTGTTGTTTGTTTCTTTGTTTAAAACATGTATTCCTAATTTCCTTTCTTTCAAGTTTTATTTATTTATTTATACTTCATAGCATATGGATGGTGGAACTTAAGCGTTGCTAATAGGACACGGACTCCTTTGTTAATGAAGAATGGTCCTTGAGAGTTGTGACTTGAGAATTGGGCTAGAATATCACTGAACTTAAGTTTAACTTCTGAATTGGTGTCCAGTTATTGTGAATCATGACTTTTGTTTCTGTGAGTATAACTTCTTTAATGCATCTAGAGTTCAACATGATGTTTAATATATCATACTACGTATTTGGTAATTCTAGAATAGTATACATAGTGTTTTCTAAACAGCGCGCGTGGCATGAGTCAGACGGGCGCTCTTTTGCACCTTGTGCCTCACCCGATGGGGACTCCAGCGCCTTGAGTGTGCCTCGCGGCTTTTACTACTTTGATCGAAACAAGTTTCTTTGTGACGGAATCGAGATCCTCTATGCCAGTCGCAAAAGTCTGCGTTGAAGGAGTAATGACAGAAGCAAGTTTCTTTGTAGCAACAGTAAAATCCTCCATGGTGGTTGCAAGAGCCTTTGTTTCTTAGAGAGTGAGATATTACGTTCCCTAAGATTTCTCTGAAGGCTCTTGTCCATTCATATACTGAATTGCACGTGTTGGAATATTTCCTTTAATGTAGTGTCATCGTCTATCATTGTAATTTATCTTGCTCAAAGATTTGGAAGTGCTGGCTTGTTTTTTTCTAACAACTCACACAATTAAATACAAGCAGAGCTCTAAAATCTCAACCTAAGCAGCTAATAAAAAAAACACATAGACTAATTTAGTGCAGCACGTCAGTTTTTTTTTTCTTTTCTTTTTCCTGTTGAGAACACATGATAATAAATAGAAGCACCAACGATCACGAAACACCCAAATATGGTTGTAAACACTTGGCAGTTCAAATTATGCCTATTTGTTTTCTTACTTTCGTGGAGTTGAAGCGTTTGGGGATGGACTTGATGCTGATTCAGATCTTTTGGATCCACGACTTTTGTTTTGGCTGAGTTCTGATTTCTTAGTGCTGGTCGCCTCATCTGATATGTTTCAGACTTTGGGCAGAGAAAGTAAACAGAAGGTTAGGTGGGGAAGGAGATGAAAGGGAAAGAAGGAAGCGACTCTAATACGAAGGTGTTACGGCAATGGTTGGGATATCGAAAATAAAAGAACGAAAATCAACATAAATGAAGAACATCTCAGCCCTAGGGAAGAGAACGTTTTGTCCAACCTTGTCAAGATTCCAAAGAATAACGCCAAAATTATTGATCATATTATGAATGAATAGAGCACCTCTATTTATGCTAGTTCCAAGAGTCTTAGAGAATGAATTCCATTGCTAAAAAGTGCTTTTCTGTTTTTAGCTTTAAAAAGTTAATGAATGTTTTCAAACAATTACCTCGGCTTAAATTAAGCGCTTCAAAGCTCGAAGCAGGCAGATAGGTGCTTTAAACTGCTTATCACACAAGAAGTACTTTTACATTTTCAAAATCAACTTCTTCAAACACTACCAACTTTTACATTAATCACTTTTTAGAAGAATGTTCCAAAAAAAAAATACTTCTCAAAAGTAGAAGAAAATACAAACACTCCTTTACTAGACAACAAGTACAAACTACAAAGTAACCCTATTACAATAGGAAAAACTGACAATAATAATCTTACCTTTCACTGCTTTTCTCAAAATAATCCACCTTTACGTAATCTCAGAATAATCCCACCTTGGGATGCAAAGGTAGGATTATTCTAAGATTACGTAATGTGGGATTATTCTGAAAAGATCAGTGAAAGGTGAAATTATTGTTGTCAATTTTCCCATTGCAATACTGCTACTTGGATTTTTAACTATAATAGACTTTCAATACTAATAGGAAACTACTATTACAAACAAAAATAGAAAACTCATACTTACAAATGAAAATAATAATAATAACAGTAATAGTAATAATAATATATGAGACTCATCGTATCATTATTTGGTGGTTCATTTAAAGACTTTTACTCCCTAAATCATTGTTTCCACAATTTTGCAGACCGTTACACGAAAAAGATGTTTGATTTGCTGGTTTCTGCTTATTCAACAATAAGTGTTCAAGAAACTGCTCTCTTCATGGGAATGAACCTTGATGATGCTACACAATGTGAGTTTTGCTTTGAACCTTGTTAGGCAGAGATGCTTTATACCTGCATGGTTGCCTTTTATCTTCGTTTTGCACATGCATGGTGCTCCAATTTGATAGCACTTGAAATATTCCCAATTAGTCTGCAAACTTATTTGTCACTGGATAATGTATTGGACTTCTACCAATCCCCGTAGTATTGCATTTTTTTGGAAAAGTAGGCTAGTAAGATGTGATAAGTTACATGCACATGGAAAACTATTCCTCGCATCAAAAGCCTGCTTTCTAAAATAAGCATTGAATTGTGTTTTATGCAGGCAGTTGAAATAATACAGGTGTACAATAATAATAGAAGTATTAAAGGGTGCGTAAGTTAGGAAGATATAAAGTTATATCTTATTATTCTAAAAATAATTATAGGCTGTGTTGCCTCTTGCCTGTGTAGTTGTAGATTTGTGACATCTAAATAATAAATTGTTAATGTGATAACATGTAATGACATGTAAGTTTGTTTTTCTCATGCATATGGTCTAGTAAAAATTAATGGGAACTAGATCCTTTTGTAATATGACTTTTGGAAACAAAACCTGGTTGTCATTAAGAACTTCATTATCTTTACTATTAATTTTTTATTTTCTATTTTTTTTTGGTAGGGGGGGGGGGATTAACAACTGATACCTGTGATGACAAACAATTGTTTTTGGTTCTTCTGATTTGGGCAGATGTGTTACAACAGGGTTGGAGTTTGGACGCTGCAACTCAAATGCTGACAGTGAAAAGACAAGAGGTAGTAAAAGAGCAAAAGTTAGATGCCACCAAATTGCAGCGGTTGACGGAATACGTTTTCCACCTCGAACACTAATCATCAACCCCCCGCATGTCGCGACCACCCTCTGTTAATTGTGAATCTTAATGTGAGTGGTTCTGTTTTATAATCCAATATTTGAAGTCGAAGGGTGGATCATATTACTTGGGAAAATGCATGTGGTCTGTTTTTGCCTTGCCAAAGTCACGCGGACTGAGCAGAAAGAAAGTGCAATTCTTTTTAATCTGTTTTGCCTTGCCAAAGTCAACTTGAATTGTCGACCAATTCAGGCCTAACGCAGGTCTCCATTTTCCTTGGCAGCTTAAATTAGACTGGAAAGCCTAAATCTCCATAGTGAAAAAGTCACTATACCTATCAACAACAAAAAAAAAAAGAATTCGAACATAAACGAATATGAAAGGAAAAGGCAAATAAAAACTTGAACCAGAGAGTCAGAGACATAACATTTCCATTCCAAAGAGTGTTCCCAAAATGTCATCCAAGTTCGTGTTGCCGCACAACTCTTTCGAAATTGTTGTTATCTTTTTTGTCCGCTGCTTTCACCAATCACCAGTCAATATATACAAAGTGCCAAAAATTTGTATGCAACACCTAGGCATGGACCCGGGCCGGGTCGGGCCCGGGCCGGGTCGGGCCCGGGCCGGGTCAAGGCCCGGTCGGGCCTCGGGTCCTATAAGGGTAGGCCCGGGACCGGCCCGGTCAATGACCGGTTCCGGTTCGGGCCGGGTCACCCGCCCGGGTCACGGGTCGGGCCACCCGCCGGGCCTGGCCGGGCCAATAATTTTTTTTTTTTTAATTAATTATATATTATAACAAATTGCTATTAAAAACAAAGTTCAAGTGCATTTATTTGAAATAAGAACTACATTTGAGAATTGAGAAAAAAATAACAATACGAAATACATTTTGTAAATTGTAATGAATATCAATTGGGATTTCCGCCACCGTTGGTTGTTGTTTTCCCTTTGTCACAGGACTTCATATGTTTTATTGGCATCCCGTATCCGTATGAACGCCCCAAGCAACAGTCTTTCTTGCACCACCTGCAAGTTGCCCACCACAGTCCGGTCTAGGCCTGGACTCGGGTCGGGCGGCCCGACCCGGAACCGGCCCGGCCCGGCCACTGTAGCAACCGGCCCGGCCCGGTGGCCCGGTCCACCGGCGGTTCGGGTCGAACCGGCCCGGTGGTTCCCGGTTCCGGGCCCGGGCCTTCCATATGGTGAACCGGCCCGGCCGGTTCGGGCCCGGTCCGGGCCGGAATTAATTTTTTTTTTTTTTGAAAATTTTTTATGTTTTGGGTTAGATTAGGTATTTTGGTCCATTTGAGATGGTTTGGGGTGGTTTGGGGTTGAGAAAGAGGGGTAGGGGATTAAATAAAGAAGCCAAAAAAAAAAATTAATAGGGCGGGTGGCCCGGCCCGGAACCGGCCCGGTCTGGCCCGGAACCGGCCCGGTCTGGCCCGGAACCGGCCCGGAACCGGCCAACCCCGGTTCGGGCTCGGGCCTATATATACTGAACCGAGGCCCGGCCGGGCCCAGGCCCGAGGCCCGAACCGGCCCGGTTCAGTCCACCCCTAGTCCGGTCTTCAGGTCCTTCCACTTGTCAAAATTGTTTTGCATAAGGGAAGATGTACTTTCCATATTTAAAATGGTATATGTATAACAGTATAAGTAATTAAGTAGGAATGTAGGATAATAAGAGAAGATGAAGATGGAGAAGAGTTTGAGAAGAATTGGAGAAAAGGTGTAGAAAAATGTTAGAAAATAGATGTATTTATAGGTGTTTTTGAACCCCACTCCCCACACCACCACCCCCGGGACCCCCCTGCCCCCCACCCATAGCCCCAACGGCTATATAGCCGTTTGGGAGCTTTGAATTTTTTTTTTTTTTTTTTAAGTTATACACATATATATTGTAAAATAAATTAATTAATTTAATGAATTAAGTAAAACTAAAACAAATGTTACAAAATAGGTGTATAAGTATTTAAACAAATTACATATTCTAAATGTATTTTTAATTTAAAAACCGGCTTTATATTTTAGAAAAATAATTTTAAGTCGTTAGATTGTAACCAATTAATTAATTTGAGAAGTGCTACATATGAAAAAGTGAACACATATTTATTTGAAATATGAAGTACAAGTTTACAAATTAATTTGAACTACAACTACAAATTTACAATTTTGAAATATGAAGTACAAGTTTACAATTTTGAAATATGAAGTACAAGTATAAATAAATTTGACAAGTGCTATAAAATACATTTTGTACTAAATTCTAAAATACTAATCAATCGGAATCTCCGGCATAGGTAGAGCCACCATCGGTTGTTGAGTCATCCATAAAATCTTGGGAGGGGGTGATGCTCAATTCTTGAGTTCTACGTGCGGCCTTCAACCAATCGTGGTAGCATATAAGCGTCTCAAGAGACTCCGCGCTCAATCTCGATCTAGATGCCGTTAGGACGTTGCCGGCCGAACTAAATTCTTGTTCCACCGCAACTGTTGAAACCGGCATTGATAGTACTTGCTTAGCCATCCGTGCTAAAATCGGGAACGTTCTTTCTTTTGACTTCCATCAGTCTAGAACGTCAAAGTCATCATTTTCTTCAAAATCAACTTCATATGTTAAATACAAAGTAATCTCATTCAATGCGCTTTGTTCAGTGACGTGAGTTGTTTTAGTTTTTTTCATAAGATTGCCAAATGCAGATTTAAAAATCGATTTTCCTTTAGATGAAGATGTTCGTGACGGGGGAGGGGGAGCGTTGCTATATTGTGCACGAAACTCATTAAATAAGGCATAAAATAAAGTACTAACCTCGTTGTATTCCGTTTTCGGATCTATGGGGTTATCCTCATACATTGGAAATTCACCGAAAAACGCAAGATAATAGAAGTTGAAACAATCTTCCAAATTAGCAAGTCTATAACGAGGATCGAGAATAAATGCAATACCATAAATATGGGGAATATGCGCATAATATTTTAAAAACTTTTCCTTCATATGATCACAAAAATAATGAACGAAAACGGCATTTTGAAATTCTTTAAAAGCATCGGCGAGATTAACAGCTTGTGGAATAAATTGGTTTGCGGTAGGTTTATAAACATGACTAAAAGTTTCAGTAGCATTAAAAAAATATATCAAAACATTACAAATTTTTTCGCAAGTGTCGATCTCAGCCGCGTTTATAATATAGTTATCATGTTCTTTTAAAAAAGCAGGAAAATGTTCTTTATATCTAAGAACAACTTTAAGTAATTTATAAGTACTATTCCAACGAATACTCAAATCTTTAGGAAAAGCAACATATCTCACACCTCTTTCAGTCAAATAACTTTGCCATTTTAATCTAAGTTGACCATTACCCCAAATACGTCTAACCCCCCCCCCCCCCCCCCCCTTTATTACCTCCATGGAATCTCCTAACGCTTTTAAACCGTCTTGCACACATAAATTTATAACATGACATGCACACCGTTGATGAAAAAATCTACCCATCAAAGAATTGGCACCACACAACTCACGCAATCTAGGTATAGCAGCAGTATTATTAGTAGCATTATCGAAACCAATAGCAAACACCTTATCAATCAAATTATACTCAATTAAAATACGCTCAATCAAAATATAAATATGTTCAGCGGTGTGACGATCATTAAATTCACGAAAAGCAAGAACACGTTTATGCATATTCCAATCCTCATCAATATAATGTGCAGTCAGACCCAAATAATATAAATGATGAAAATCATCCTCCCATATGTCAGAACAAATAGTAACACGCCCATCAAAGTTTGCAAAAAAATTTTGTAACCTTTCCTTTTCCGCATTATAAAGCCTTATTATTTCTTTCTTAACAGTTTTGCGACTATAATTTCTAAATTGAGGATTTAAACTACCTTGTGCATAATCTCTTAAAGCAAGACTTTCAGAAAACAAATAAGGCAAATTTTCTTCACAAATTAAGTTAGCCATACCAGTCAAATTTTGTGCATCATTGTAGGAGAAATTACCAAAAGGTTGAGAATTCGCAAACCTCGATATTTGAGTTTGCTTCCCCGTTCCGCCGCCTAATTTTGCATACTCCACGGGGTGCTTTGCCTTAAGATGCCTTGTGGCGGATCTGTATCCGCCGGAGGTTCCCAAACTATAATTGTTGTTGCACCACTTGCAAGTTGCGTGCCAATAGCCGGTTTGTGGGTCCTTCCATTTATCAAAATTATTTTTCATTAGTTCAGACTTACTTTTTTTATTACCGGTGGCGGTTTGGGATGAGGCAGGCGCGTCGGCGTCGTGGCTGCCGGCACCCTCCTCCTCGGCCGTCTCCGGTTCCAATTCCTCCGCATCTTCATCCTCAAGCTCCTCTTCGTCAATGGTCGTCGGCATTTGTTGTTGTTGTAGAAAGCGGTTATTATGTCGGGCCAATTCTTGTTGGAGTTGTTCTTCGGACATCGCATCTCCATCTCGCCTTTGGTAACCCGTTTCAAAATCATCTCGACTTTGAGATGAAGACCCGGCAAGTTCTTTACCTTTGCGGGATTTCTTCCTCCCAATCTCGTTTCTTCGATTGCGTTGGAGGTTACCCAAATCAACCGAATATCTACCACCTTCCATCTAAAAAATGTAACAAATATTAATTCACAACAAATATAATAATGGATACAAAACTAATGCAACTAATTAAAACTATTTTAATTAATACTTCAAACTAATTTTTTGCAAAGTAGAATTAATGTGTGTCTCTACAATTAAAATTATAGCAACTTTTGAAGTAAATAACTAGTACAAGTAAAAATGTAACAACAATGCTAATTAAGTAGTTAACTAGTATAGTGACAAATGTAACAAACTAACAACTAGTTAAATAAAATGTGAAGTATTTTAATTAGTATAATGAAAAATGTAACAAGAATGGTATTGAAGTATTGAACTAATTAACTAGTATAATGAAAAATGTAACAAGAATGGTATTGAACTAATTAACTAGTATAATGAAAAATGTAACAAGAATGCTAATTAAGTAATTAACTAGTATAATGAAAAATGTTACAATAATGATAATGAACTAATTAACTAGTATAATGAAAAATGTAACAAGAATGCTAATTAACTAATTAACTAGTATAATACTAGTTATAGTAAGTAATATATAATATAATGTTTATATTATATAATATATAAGTATACTATACTATACGATGAGTAATACACTTATA